GACCACCGTGCACTCACCCGAGTTTCTCAAGATGGACACGAGCCTGTGGCCGGCTGCTGGCGGGCAGAGCAGTGCGGGGGAGGGCATGATCATCGGGGTTATAGACTCGGGGATCTGGCCCGAACACCCCTCTTTCGCTGACCCGGTGAGTGCTCTGAGTGACTAAGCCGGACAATGCAGTGCGCATGGTGTTTTGAGAATTCTCAAAGACACCTTGCAGAATTCTCAAAAACACCTTTAAGCCGGGAAATGCAGTGCGCATGACCACCGTGCACTCACCCGAGTTTCTCAAGATGGACACGAGCCTGTGGCCGGCTGCTGGCGGGCAGAGCAGTGCGGGGGAGGGCATGATCATCGGGGTTATAGACTCGGGGATCTGGCCCGAACACCCCTCTTTCGCTGACCCGGTGAGTGCTCTGAGTGACTAAGCCGGACAATGCAGTGCGCATGGTGTTTTGAGAATTCTCAAAGACACCTTGCAGAATTCTCAAAAACACCTTTAAGCCGGGAAATGCAGTGCGCATGACCACCGTGCACTCACCCGAGTTTCTCAAGATGGACACGAGCCTGTGGCCGGCTGCTGGCGGGCAGAGCAGTGCGGGGGAGGGCATGATCATCGGGGTTATAGACTCGGGGATCTGGCCCGGACACCCCTCTTTCGCTGACCCGGTGAGTGCTCTGAGTGACTAAGCCGGACAATGCAGTGCGCATGGTGTTTTGAGAATTCTCAAAGACACCTTGCAGAATTCTCAAAAACACCTTTAAGCCGGGAAATGCAGTGCGCATGACCACCGTGCACTCACCCGAGTTTCTCAAGATGGACACGAGCCTGTGGCCGGCTGCTGGCGGGCAGAGCAGTGCGGGGGAGGGCATGATCATCGGGGTTATAGACTCGGGGATCTGGCCCGAACACCCCTCTTTCGCTGACCCGGTGAGTGCTCTGAGTGACTAAGCCGGACAATGCAGTGCGCATGGTGTTTTGAGAATTCTCAAAGACACCTTGCAGAATTCTCAAAAACACCTTTAAGCCGGGAAATGCAGTGCGCATGACCACCGTGCACTCACCCGAGTTTCTCAAGATGGACACGAGCCTGTGGCCGGCTGCTGGCGGGCAGAGCAGTGCGGGGGAGGGCATGATCATCGGGGTTATAGACTCGGGGATCTGGCCCGAACACCCCTCTTTCGCTGACCCGGTGAGTGCTCTGAGTGACTAAGCCGGACAATGCAGTGCGCATGGTGTTTTGAGAATTCTCAAAGACACCTTGCAGAATTCTCAAAAACACCTTTAAGCCGGGAAATGCAGTGCGCATGACCACCGTGCACTCACCCGAGTTTCTCAAGATGGACACGAGCCTGTGGCCGGCTGCTGGCGGGCAGAGCAGTGCGGGGGAGGGCATGATCATCGGGGTTATAGACTCGGGGATCTGGCCCGAACACCCCTCTTTCGCTGACCCGGTGAGTGCTCTGAGTGACTAAGCCGGACAATGCAGTGCGCATGGTGTTTTGAGAATTCTCAAAGACACCTTGCAGAATTCTCAAAAACACCTTTAAGCCGGGAAATGCAGTGCGCATGACCACCGTGCACTCACCCGAGTTTCTCAAGATGGACACGAGCCTGTGGCCGGCTGCTGGCGGGCAGAGCAGTGCGGGGGAGGGCATGATCATCGGGGTTATAGACTCGGGGATCTGGCCCGAACACCCCTCTTTCGCTGACCCGGTGAGTGCTCTGAGTGACTAAGCCGGACAATGCAGTGCGCATGGTGTTTTGAGAATTCTCAAAGACACCTTGCAGAATTCTCAAAAACACCTTTAAGCCGGGAAATGCAGTGCGCATGACCACCGTGCACTCACCCGAGTTTCTCAAGATGGACACGAGCCTGTGGCCGGCTGCTGGCGGGCAGAGCAGTGCGGGGGAGGGCATGATCATCGGGGTTATAGACTCGGGGATCTGGCCCGAACACCCCTCTTTCGCTGACCCGGTGAGTGCTCTGAGTGACTAAGCCGGACAATGCAGTGCGCATGGTGTTTTGAGAATTCTCAAAGACACCTTGCAGAATTCTCAAAAACACCTTTAAGCCGGGAAATGCAGTGCGCATGACCACCGTGCACTCACCCGAGTTTCTCAAGATGGACACGAGCCTGTGGCCGGCTGCTGGCGGGCAGAGCAGTGCGGGGGAGGGCATGATCATCGGGGTTATAGACTCGGGGATCTGGCCCGAACACCCCTCTTTCGCTGACCCGGTGAGTGCTCTGAGTGACTAAGCCGGACAATGCAGTGCGCATGGTGTTTTGAGAATTCTCAAAGACACCTTGCAGAATTCTCAAAAACACCTTTAAGCCGGGAAATGCAGTGCGCATGACCACCGTGCACTCACCCGAGTTTCTCAAGATGGACACGAGCCTGTGGCCGGCTGCTGGCGGGCAGAGCAGTGCGGGGGAGGGCATGATCATCGGGGTTATAGACTCGGGGATCTGGCCCGAACACCCCTCTTTCGCTGACCCGGTGAGTGCTCTGAGTGACTAAGCCGGACAATGCAGTGCGCATGGTGTTTTGAGAATTCTCAAAGACACCTTGCAGAATTCTCAAAAACACCTTTAAGCCGGGAAATGCAGTGCGCATGACCACCGTGCACTCACCCGAGTTTCTCAAGATGGACACGAGCCTGTGGCCGGCTGCTGGCGGGCAGAGCAGTGCGGGGGAGGGCATGATCATCGGGGTTATAGACTCGGGGATCTGGCCCGAACACCCCTCTTTCGCTGACCCGGTGAGTGCTCTGAGTGACTAAGCCGGACAATGCAGTGCGCATGGTGTTTTGAGAATTCTCAAAGACACCTTGCAGAATTCTCAAAAACACCTTTAAGCCGGGAAATGCAGTGCGCATGACCACCGTGCACTCACCCGAGTTTCTCAAGATGGACACGAGCCTGTGGCCGGCTGCTGGCGGGCAGAGCAGTGCGGGGGAGGGCATGATCATCGGGGTTATAGACTCGGGGATCTGGCCCGGACACCCCTCTTTCGCTGACCCGGTGAGTGCTCTGAGTGACTAAGCCGGACAATGCAGTGCGCATGGTGTTTTGAGAATTCTCAAAGACACCTTGCAGAATTCTCAAAAACACCTTTAAGCCGGGAAATGCAGTGCGCATGACCACCGTGCACTCACCCGAGTTTCTCAAGATGGACACGAGCCTGTGGCCGGCTGCTGGCGGGCAGAGCAGTGCGGGGGAGGGCATGATCATCGGGGTTATAGACTCGGGGATCTGGCCCGAACACCCCTCTTTCGCTGACCCGGTGAGTGCTCTGAGTGACTAAGCCGGACAATGCAGTGCGCATGGTGTTTTGAGAATTCTCAAAGACACCTTGCAGAATTCTCAAAAACACCTTTAAGCCGGGAAATGCAGTGCGCATGACCACCGTGCACTCACCCGAGTTTCTCAAGATGGACACGAGCCTGTGGCCGGCTGCTGGCGGGCAGAGCAGTGCGGGGGAGGGCATGATCATCGGGGTTATAGACTCGGGGATCTGGCCCGAACACCCCTCTTTCGCTGACCCGGTGAGTGCTCTGAGTGACTAAGCCGGACAATGCAGTGCGCATGGTGTTTTGAGAATTCTCAAAGACACCTTGCAGAATTCTCAAAAACACCTTTAAGCCGGGAAATGCAGTGCGCATGACCACCGTGCACTCACCCGAGTTTCTCAAGATGGACACGAGCCTGTGGCCGGCTGCTGGCGGGCAGAGCAGTGCGGGGGAGGGCATGATCATCGGGGTTATAGACTCGGGGATCTGGCCCGAACACCCCTCTTTCGCTGACCCGGTGAGTGCTCTGAGTGACTAAGCCGGACAATGCAGTGCGCATGGTGTTTTGAGAATTCTCAAAGACACCTTGCAGAATTCTCAAAAACACCTTTAAGCCGGGAAATGCAGTGCGCATGACCACCGTGCACTCACCCGAGTTTCTCAAGATGGACACGAGCCTGTGGCCGGCTGCTGGCGGGCAGAGCAGTGCGGGGGAGGGCATGATCATCGGGGTTATAGACTCGGGGATCTGGCCCAAACACCCCTCTTTCGCTGACCCGGTGAGTGCTCTGAGTGACTAAGCCGGACAATGCAGTGCGCATGGTGTTTTGAGAATTCTCAAAGACACCTTGCAGAATTCTCAAAAACACCTTTAAGCCGGGAAATGCAGTGCGCATGACCACCGTGCACTCACCCGAGTTTCTCAAGATGGACACGAGCCTGTGGCCGGCTGCTGGCGGGCAGAGCAGTGCGGGGGAGGGCATGATCATCGGGGTTATAGACTCGGGGATCTGGCCCGAACACCCCTCTTTCGCTGACCCGGTGAGTGCTCTGAGTGACTAAGCCGGACAATGCAGTGCGCATGGTGTTTTGAGAATTCTCAAAGACACCTTGCAGAATTCTCAAAAACACCTTTAAGCCGGGAAATGCAGTGCGCATGAGCACGGTGCACTCACCTGTGTTTCTCAAGATGGACACGATCCTGTGGCCGGCTGCTGGCGGGCAGAGCAGTGCGGGGGAGGGCGTGATTATCGGGGTGATTGACTCAGGAATCGGGCGTTGAGTGGCTTCCCACCTGCCCTCTCTCCCAACCACCCTCCCTCCCTCCTCCCTCTCAGGACCCCAACGGAGCGGCCTACTCTGCCAAGCCCTCGCGTTGGCGGGGCTTGTGCACCAAAACGGCCGACTTCCAGGCATGCAACAACAAGCTGATTGGGGATCGCTACTTCGTGAACGGCGCGGAGTGTTTGTCTTCCCACCCGTGCCTCTCCTGCCCGCCACCATCGCTCCTCCCTCTCAGGACCCCAACGGAGCAGCCTATTCTGCCAAGCCCACGCGGTGGCGGGGCGTGTGCACCAAAACGGCTGATTTCCAATTGTGCAACAACAAGCTGATTGGGGATCGCTACTTTGTGAAGGCCGTGAGTTGCTGTCTTCCCACCTGTCCTCTCTCCCACCCACCCTCCACCCTCCCTCCCTGTGTCAGGACCCAAACGGAGCAGCCTATTCCGCCAAGCCCACTCGGTGGCGGGGCGTGTGCACCAAGACTGCGGATTTCCAGGCGTGCAACAACAAGCTGATCGGCGCGCGCTACTTTCTGAAGGGCGCGGAGTTTACGTTTGGCAAGCTGGACGAAACCGAAGAGTTCCGGTCGGCACGAGACAAAGTGCAGCACGGCACGTGGTGTGCGGGGTGAGTGGGTTGTGTGTACGTCAGCATGGGTCTGGCTAAGCTGATCGGCGCACGGTACTCTTTGAAGGGAGCGGAGTATACGTTTGGCCAGCTGAACGAAACCGAAGAGCTCCGGTTGGCACGAGACAAAGTGCAGCGTGGCACGTGGTGTGCGGGGTGAGTGGGCCGGGCAAGAATAGCCGTGCACAAGGCGCTGTAGATCATTGGGGGGTACGAGAGCACTGGGGTTGAGTTGACACGCCTCTACCCGCCCCTTCTCTTCCCTCGCTCCCCTCCCCTCCATGGCCCTACCCTACCTTGCCTTGCCCTGCCCTGCCCTGCCCTGCCCTGCCCTGCCCTGCCCTGCCCTGCCCTGCCCTGCCCTGCCCTGCCCTGCCCTGCCCTGCCCTGCCCTGCCCTGCCCTGCCCTGCCCTGCCCTGCCCTGCCCTGCCCTGCCCTGCCCTGCCCTGCCCTGCCCTGCCCTGCCCTGCCCTGCCCTGCCCTGCCCTGCCCTGCCCTGCCCTGCCCTGCCCTGCCCTGCCCTGCCCTGCCCTGCCCTGCCCTGCCCTGCCCTGCCCTGCCCTGCCCTGCCCTGCCCTGCCCTGCCCTGCCCTGCCCTGCCCTGCCCTGCCCTGCCCTGCCCTGCCCTGCCCTGCCCTGCCCTGCCCTGCCCTGCCCTGCCCTGCCCTGCCCTGCCCTGCCCTGCCCTGCCCTGCCCTGCCCTGCCCTGCCCTGCCCTGCCCTGCCCTGCCCTGCCCTGCCCTGCCCTGCCCTGCCCTGCTGTGCCCCCCCTCCCCGCCCTCCACTCCCTATAACCAGAGCGGCAGCAGGCAACGCAGGGGTAACGGTCACCACAGGGGGCAGGAGCTACGGCACAGCATCAGGCATGGCGCGTGTGTCGTGCCATGGGATGGAAGTAATCACACCCACACCCCCTTCCTCTCTCCCCTCCCCTGCCCACACACCAGGGCTGCTGCAGGCAACGCAGGAATAACAGTCACTACAGGGGGTCGCAGTTACGGCACAGCATCAGGCATGGCACCGCGGGCACGACTGGCCGTGTACAAGGCGCTGTGGACCATTGGGGGGTACGAGGGCACTGGAGCCTCGTCGGATCTCATCGGTGCGGCTGAAAAGGCTGTTGCTGACGGTGTGGATGTGATCTCATGCTCGTGGGGCGGCCTCGCCATGTACTTCCAAGACTTGCCGTACCTGCGTGGCTTGAAGGTATGTGCTGCCTAGCAACCTTTAGCGTGATGCGTTGCTCTTACATTGTGTCCCTAACATAACATCATCTCCTGCTCGTGGGGGGACCTCGCCATGTACTTCCAAGACCTGCCCTATCTCCGTGGGCTTAAGGTGCGCTGGGGTATGAGGGTATGATCATTGGGGGGTACGAGGGCACGGGGGCCTCGTCGGATCTCATTGGTGCGGCTGAAAAGGCTGTTGCTGACGGTGTGGATGTGATCTCGTGCTCGTGGGGCGGCCTCGCCATGTACTTCCAAGACTTGCCGTACCTGCGAGGAGGGCTCAAGGTGTGTTCTGCCTTGCGCTCTTACACGCGGTTTTCTGCTCTTTTGTAACATGATTCTGTGCTCTTGACATCATCTCCTGCTCGTGGGTGAGGCTCCCCATGTACTTCCAAGACCTGCGAGGCTTGAAGGTGTGTTCAAGGTTCAAAATTACGACCGAATTATTGAAATTCTACCGTATAATACGGAATCGTATAAAACGACCGTAAAATACGGTTTCAAAAAAATTCAGTGATTGCTAGGAGAAAACTACGCTTTTTAAAAATCTATCAAAAATACGGCGTATTTTTTGATATTTGGCCGTAAAAAACGACCGTATTATACGGACCGTATAATACGATAACCGTAATTTTGATCCTTGGGTGTGTTGTAAGGGGCTGCAGGTGCGTGCGATACAAAGCTTCCTCTCACCACTGAGTTAACTAGAAAGTCATTTCGTGCTCGTTTGATCGATTCCGTTTGAGGTCACCTCGTGCAAAGGAACTTTCCGAATTTGCTGCTCCTCCTTTTCCTCCCTGTCCTGTTGCCCCCCGAACCTTACAGGCAGGGGTAGTGACAGCCTTTGCAGCAGGCAACGAGGGCAAGCCCAACCCCAGCAGCATCTGGGGCACCCTTGGGAATGTCTCGCCATTCTACCTCACTGTTGGAGCGAGGTATGTGAGGAGTGTTGTGGAGTGGGGGTTGAGGGGGAGGGGAGTAGAGAGAGGACATAATGAATGGGGAATACAGCAGGCAACGAGGGCAAGCCCAACCCGAGCAGCATCTGGGGCACCCTTGGGAACGTCTCGCCATTCTACCTCACTGTTGGAGCGAGGTATGTTCTGAAACTTGGGAGCATCTGGGGCACCCTTGGGAGTGTCTCGCCCTTCTATCTCACAGTTGGAGCGAGGTACGTGGGGAGTGAAAGTTGGTCAGGGGGGAGTGGAGCAGTGAATGGGAATACAGCAGGCAACGAGGTGGGAGGGCTAGTTCCAGCAGCATCTGGGGCACCCTTGGGAATGTCTCGCCCTTCTATCTCACTGTGGGAGCGAGGTACGTGTGGAGTGGGGGAGGGGGGGGGGGGGGGTGGTAGTAGTGAGAGATCAGAATGAATGGAAATATGGCAGGAGCATGTGTGGCACCCTTAAGAACTGGGGTCAGGACAGGGAATCCAACCACCTTACAGGGCACAGTATTGTTTTACTCTCAGTCCAACTAACCCTCCCCCATCCTTAACCCCACTCCCTGCTACCGCACTCCACCCCTCCTCCGCAGCAATAGGACGAGAATACAAGGCAGTGCTGGGAGATTCAACCACCTTCAATACACCTTCAATACACCTTCAATGCAAAAACCCCTCCTCCCCCCACGCCTTCCGTGTTACAGCACGATACAGCGTGAATACAGAGCAGTGCTGACGCTAGCTGATGCAACCACCTTCACAGGCCGCAGTCTTGCTCTACTCACAGTCCCCCTAAACCCCCTTTTGAGACGTCTCAAAAGTCCTTCACAGGCCGCAGTCTTGCTCTACTCACAGTCCCCCTAAACCCCCGTTTGAGACGTCTCAAAAGTCCTTCACAGGCCGCAGTCTTGCTCTACTCACAGTCCCCCTAAACCCCCTTTTGAGACGTCTCAAAAGTCCTTCACAGGCCGCAGTCTTGCTCTACTCACAGTCCCCCTCAATCCCCCCACCCCTTACCCACTGCCTGCTTCTGCTCTTCACCGCTCCTCCTCTGCAGCACGATGGGGGATGCAACCACCTTCAACGGGCGCAGTCTGGGCGGCATTGCTCACAGTCCACCTAACCCCACTCCCCGTTACCGCACTCCTTGCTACCGCACTCCACCCTCCTCTGCAGCACGATAGGGCGGGAGTACAAGGCAGTGCTGACCCTAGGGGATGCCACCACCTTCAATGGCTGCAGTCTGGGCGGCACTGCTGCCACGGGCTCTGCTCTGATTCCCCTCCTCCCCTCCTCCCCCCTCTCCCTCTTCCACAGCACGATAGGGCGCGAGTACAAGGCGGTGCTGACCTTAGGGGATGCCACCACCTTCAATGGCCGCAGCCTGGCTCAAGTTACAGTCCACCTAACCCACTCCCTGTTACCGCACTCCACCCCTCCTGCTCCACAGCACGATAGGGCGGGAGTACAAGGCAGTGCTGACCTTAGGGGATGCCACCACCTTCAATGGCCGCAGCCTGGGCGGCACCGCTGCCACGGGCTCTGCTCTGCCGCTTATTCTGGCCGAGTCTGCTCTGCTGTCCGGAGGGGATAAGGCTAAGGTGAGCTTGATATGATCCACATGCGAGTCGACACATGGCACATGGGGAAGGGGACTTGGGAGGGAGGTTAAACCCCAGACCGATTCGGCACTTCTGTCACGGGCTCTGCTCTGCCACTGATTCTCGCTGAGTCTGCTCTCCTATCCGGCGGGGATAAGGCTAAGGTGAGCTGAAACACATGGCACGTGGTAGGGTGGCTTGGAGGGAGGTTCGACCCCTGACCTACCCAGCACTTCTGCCACGGGCTCTGCTCTGCCCCTTATTCTGGCCGAGTCGGCTCTCCTATCCGGCGGGGACAAGGCCAAGGGTGAGCTTGATGCGTTTCATGTGGGGAAGGGGGGAAGGACCTGCAGTATCGCATGCCCTACACCAAAACATGGGAAGTTGACTTCGAGGGAGATTTGACCATATTCGGCACCTCTGCCACTGGCTCAGCTCTGCCGCTTATTCTGGCCGAGTCTGCTCTCTTATCCGGAGGGGATAAGGCCAAGGTGAGCTGAGGCGGGGTGAGTTGCACACATAGAATCGGGCAATGTCAGATGGAGGTTGATTTGAACCCCTGACCTGATTGGCACCTCTGCCACGGGCTCAGCTCTGCCGCTTATTCTAGCTGCGTCTGCTCTTTTATCCGGAGGGGATGAGGCCAAGGGTGAGCTTGAGGCGGGGTGAGTTACACACATAGAATCGCGTTTCCTGCCCTTCTCATTGCCTTTTTCCCTGCCCTCTCCCCTCCCTCCCCTCCCCTCCCACCAGGCGCGACAATGTTACAGCGGGCACATCAGCAGGACTGCAGTTTCTGGGAAGTTTCTCGTGTGCTCCATCCTCACACGCAAAATGGGGCTCCTGCTGGCAGATGCAGATCTCCTGGGGGCGGCTGCTATCCTCGTTATAAGCGGGACGCCCAAGGAGGACATGCAGCATCGCATGCCCTACACCAAAACCCCCAGCATCTTCCTCCCGTACTCGCGTGGCGAAACGATCAAGAGCTATGTTCAAACGGAAAGCAGGTGAGCTTGCTTCGGAGCATGCTTGTTCACCCAATAGCTGTTTCTCTCTCAAAGTTTGGACTCTACTTCAAGTCCCCCAGCATCTTCCTCCAGTACTAGTGTGGCAAGACGATCAAGAGCTATGTTCAAACGGAAAGCAGGTGAGACTGCTTAGTCGTTAAGGCTCCAGTATACATTTGTCAACGGGGTTTCGGGTTTTATAGTGTGCCTCACAGTTTGGGGGCAACTTTTCAAGTAGGATTTTGAACCCCTCCTTTCAAATGTATACCGGAGCTTTAAGTGCTCGAGGGGCAAGACAATCAAGAGCTATATTCGGGCGCAAAACAGGTGAGCTTGCTGCTTCTCTCTCTGAACAGGTGAGCCACATTTTGAGTGGATTAAAGAAAAGAAAAAGAAAAAAAACACAAACAACGTCACCTTCCTCCATTGCTCGCGAGGGGCGGCAAGACAATCAAGAGCTATAAACAGGAGAGCCAGCTGCTTCTGTTTCCGCTTCGTTCCATTCACCCACTCCCCCTCCTCTTCCCCTTCCCCACTCCTCCATTTCCCCTCTCCCCTTTCCCCGTTACCTCTCCCCAAACCCCGCTACACCCCTATACCCTGAACCCCTCACCTCCAGTCCATTCATCCCCACAGCTTCTATCGTTTTTTTCACATTCCCAGACTCCCCTGCCCTTCCTTTCTCGTGTCTCACTCTCCCCCGTTACCGTAAACCTCTAACCCAAAAAAAATTCCCAATTTCTCATTCCCCCTCACCTTTCCCCTTCCCTCCCCGCACAGTCTCCTACTCCTCACACGTTTTCATTCCACCTCCCTCTCTCCCCACTCTCTCTCTCCCCACTCTCTCTCTCTCTCCCCGTCCCCCCCTCCCCTCCACAGCCCCACAGCGACTTTATCTGCCTACACCGAATCATACACCGACAACGCCCCCCAATTCGCCTGCTCTTGCTTCATGCTTTTCCCCCGCTTCCCTCCCGCCCCTCCAATCCCTCACCTTTTTCCCTTCCACAGCCCCACAGCAACTCTATCCGCCTACACTGAATCTAACTCCAACAACGCCCCCCAAGTCGCCTTCTTCTCGTCAACCGGTCCGCCGCGCAGCGCACGCTACCCGCCCGCGCTTCTAATCCGCGACTTCCCCACTAACGACATCCTTAAACCCGACGTCATGGGCCCGGGGTTCCTACTATGGGCCGCGGCGCCGGGAAAGGCTGTCGCGACCGCCGCGACCGACGCGCCCGAGTTTAACTTCTGGTCAGGAACGTCTATGTCGACGCCGCATTTGGCGGGAATCATGGCTCTGATCGTGCAGGAGAAACCTCACTGGTCGCCCGCACAGGTGATTTCCGCAATCACGACGACGGCCTATACGAGGAATAAAAACGGGCAGCCGATTCAGCGGGCGGACGGGTCGAAAGCGAACGCATGGGATTTTGGAGGCGGGCACGTGAATCCCACGCGCGTGCTCGATCCAGGGCTCACGTTTCACAGCGCGCAGAAGCAGTTTGTGAATTTCCTCATGGGGAGGGATCCGCTGCGAGCGAAGAAGCGGTTTTGGCGAATGGGGAAGGCTCGGCCGATTTTCCCCTGGAGCATCAACCGGCCCTCGATTGCGGTAACCAGGTTACACGGCGTTATGGTTGTGTTCCGGAAAGTGAAAAACGTCTACAATTTACCGTCTATTTATACTGCCAAGGTGGACCCTCCACCTGGGTTTACAGTGAAAGTATCCCCGAAGCGGATGGTTATTCTGCCGGGGAAGTCAAAGTTATTTAGGGTGACCATCATTAGGTTTCTCCCTCTAAACGAGTTTAGATTTGGAAGCATCTTGTGGACAGACCAACACGGGCACTCAGTACCTGTGAACCTGGTGGTTAGTTCTCCAGTTTGGCCTTAAAGAAACTCGTCCCATTGTTTTGCATTATTTTAATAAACAAATTCTTCCTTGCAATGCCCAGTTTTGTTTTTAACTATAAGCGATTCCTTTTTTCTGCTCAACATAGCTGCAGCTTTGAGATGCACGAATGATTGGATAAAACGCCCTGAAGCGATAATTCCATAGAGAGTACTTCCGGGTAGGAGTAGGCGGCAACTATGGACTTGCAAATAGTCCGAAACTTGCAACGTCATTTCGAGGCTCTTCGAAACTTCATGCATTGTACACTGGTTTTTTGTTTTGAAATTACCCAGAGACGCTTTAAATACAGTTCAATGGACTAATAGTTCGATAGACACTCTACTGTAACGTGTGCCTGTTATCACCTTCAAGTCAATACGCAACCCTAGGTCCAATTCTTCGTGTTCGAATTCGGTGCCCTGTTTTTGTGACATTTGTCCAGTTTTAGTGATAGCGACCACTCAATCGTGCCTTTGTTTTACGGATGATCCACCACTGTACAGCGCTTGTGCCGCATTGATTTCGACGTTCAGTACACAATGCTGCACACTTGCGCGTCCAGGTTGGTTGTGTGTTCCAGCATGTACGGATCCCCCGTGTGGGAACGAGAGCACATTTGCCAGCCTTGCACCAGCACCATGGACTATTGGCGGGAAGTTTACAAAATTGTTAAAGCCGCGGTGCAACTATCAAGTTCAACTTCAAAGTATTATAGCTTGGAAGAGGTTGACCTAGGCAGTTCACAGGCGAGAGGTTTGTCTTGTTGCGAAACTCGAGTTTTTTCGACCAATAGAAGTCCAATTACGCACAAGCAGTTTTTGTCCAGCTACTGTTCCTAAGAAGTTGCACCGCGGCTTTAACGCGGCACAAGGGCTTTGTTCGCCGAGGGAGTGTTTGGGGACAGCGTGGATGTTGCCCCCTCAACTTGACACCTTAGGATCAAATATCTTCACGTTGAGATATCATTTTCTGACTCGCATTCAACGGACCCGTCAGCTTTCCTCGAAACGAGGAATTTCATTGGCGTATGGCTCCTACGAAGCACCTCGATTTGCTGAATAAAGCGTCACTTGTTGTCCAGCTGTGTCGAATCGGTCAAAACCATTCAAAGTTGCGCGAATCCGTGACGGTTTGGCATCACAGTGAAAAACTCTGGCGGTCGCGCCGAGACGTGTGAATCGTGGCTTGGTGTGCAGGTCAAATTTACACCTGGTTTGTGCCACGCACATGGAAGAGTGGTGTGCCCATGAGGTGGATCTGCCAGCTGTCTATACGAATGATGTGGATTTCAAGATTTTGGTGCTGGCCTGACGGTGGTGCTTGTTATGGGACCACACCACATGGCCGAGCGACCAAACATTTAGACCGCCTTCAAATGCGTATGGTTGCTGAAGGTTCAGCCTTTCTAGGCAAAACCGTGCGCGTTCCTTGTTCTCCATGTGTCTGAGTAAATGCAACCATGGGCTTCCTAAACCTAATAGAGTCGACATTGTATGTGACACCTGCTGTGTCGGTTGAACTTGAACAAAACCTGTACAAGACCGTCAGAATTTGGTCGACTGTTCCTTGCAAGATGTCCGCAAGTGGCACAGAGTAACGTTCAAAAATCCTTTCGTTGCCCGTTTATCCCTAAACTCCCAATCAGCCCTCAACGTTCACGGGTCAGCCAGGTGACGGGTGAAGTGTTTCTGCCCGGACCAGACCTTTAGCTTTCCAGCCATTGGTCATTCACGATGCGCAACATCCACTCCGCTGACAGCAACTTTCGGGCTCAACTGCATCATTTGTGACACAAAGAGCTGTTCAGTACAATGTGTGTGGAGTGAATACAGTACAGTACAGTATCTTTTACGGAAGAAATGAAATACTGTACTACACATTGCCTCCTTTCTTGTACTGACTTGAATCTTTCTTCCGCATTGCCTCCCCCTCGCTTCCCCCTTCCCCCGATTCCTCCCAAATCGCATTCGCGAGGAAATCGGGTCGGGAAATTGAAGTGCAGTGTTGGCAACATTTTGGTGTGCTGGCGCGGGTTGACTTCGACTGTACCGCTAGACGCCGAATTTTTTCTGCAGGCCGGGTGCGCATTGCGCAACCGCCAAGTGCGCCTCACTTGATCTCAAGTTCCGTCTCTGACGTTCTGAACTGAATCCTGCCCAGTTTCACTTCCCCATTTCCTCCCCTCACTTCTGTGCAGTGCAGCACACATCACAAAAAACCGGGTTCAGCTTCGAGGTTTCCGAGGGTCATTTCACAGTGGCATTCGATATTTTTGGCAGATTCGGATTTCCAACAGATTTCTGACGGAAATCCGTTGGTTTCCGCACGGAAATCCATGAGGCAGGGTGTGATTGACCGAAATGTTCGGCTGCACCCGAGTCGCGTCAAGAATGAACAGTAATTCTTGATTTCTGGTAGATTTCCGACAGGAATGCAGATGTGGGCAGCGAGGCAAGGAGTAGTGCAAAAGTGATATATTTGAGATGCATACACTCGAGACTTTCAGTATATTTCTAAGCCTAAGACGTATAAATAAATAAAGCTACTTGTAAATAATATCTCATGTCTGAGAGCTAAAAAAGGCAAGTAGGAATATAATTTTCATGTGTATTTCAGGATGATTAATGAAAAAAAACAATGATATATATAATCGTCGACGACAATATTAAAGCACGCTTGACAAATTCATGATTTCAAGCAGTACAAAAACAAATGCGTGCACGAAAGATTCACCACTTAGCATATGTGCCTATCCTTGAACTGATTTATCAATCTCATGATATGGAAAAAAAAATGTGCAATCGTAGGCCAGGGAGTTCTATGGTATCGTCTCACCGTCGTGTTGTTGTTGTTGTTGTCGTCGTCGTCGTCGTCGTCCTTGCGCACAGACACATCCTTGCACAGATTCGGGCCAGCGAACGCACAAACATGCGCCACGTGCTGCGTAGTTGTGCTAACGAGGTCAAACCAGTTCCTATGGCCAGGTAATAGGATGTAGTAGAGAACTGTGTGAAGAAATAGTGCTAAAAAAATGCATTTAGACGTTGGCGCAGTGACATGTTGCGCACAGGCCTATCCTTGCACTGTTTCAGGCCAGCAAACGCACAAACATGCGCCACGTGCTGCGTAGTTGTGCTAACGAGGTCAAACCAGTTCCTATGGCTAGGTAATAGGATTTAGTAGAGAACTGTGTGAAGAAATAGTGCTAAAAAAGGCATTTAGACGTTGGCGCAGTGACATCTTGCGCACAGACCTATCCTTGCACAGATTCGGGCCAGCGAACGCACAAACGTGCGCCACGTGCTGCGTAGTTGTGCTAACAAGGTCAAACCAGTTCCTATGGCTACGGAAAAGGATGTAGTAGGGAACTGTGTGAAGAAATAGTGCTAAAAAAGGCATCCAAACGTTGGCGCAGTGACATGTTGCGCACAGGCCTATCCTTGCTCTGTTTCAGGCCAGCAAACGCACAAACATGCGCCACGTGCTGCATAGTTGTGCTAACGAGGTCAAACCAGTTCCTATGGCTAGGTAATAGGATGTAGTAGAGAACTGTGTGAAGAAATAGTGCTAATAAAGGCATTTAGATGTTGGCGCAGTGACATCTTGCGCACAGACCTATCCTTGCACAGATTCGGGCCAGCGAGCGCACAAACATGCGCCACGTGGTGCGTAGTTGTGCTAACAAGGTCAAACCAGTTCCTATGGCTGGGCAATAGGATGTAGTAGAGAACTGTGTGAAGAAATAGTGCTAATAAAGGCATTTAGACGTTGGCGCAGTGACATCTTGCGCACAGACCTATCCTTGCACAGATTCGGGCAAGCGAGCGCACAAACGTGCGCCACGTGCTGCGTAGTTGTGCTAACAAGGTCAAACCAGTTCCTATGGCTAGGGAATAGGATGTAGTAGGGAACTGTGTGAAGAAATAGTGCTAAAAAAGGCATCCAAACGTTGGCGCAGTGACATGTTGCGCACAGGCCTATCCTTGCACTATTTCAGGCCAGCAAACGCACAAACATGCGCCCCGTGCTGCGTAGTTGTGCTAACGAGGTCAAACCAGTTCCTATGGCTAGGTAATAGAATTTAGTAGAGAACTGTGTGAAAAAATAGTGCTAATAAAGGCATTTAGATGTTGGCGCAGTGACATCTTGCGCACAGACCTATCCTTGCACAGATTCGGGCCAGCGAACGCACAAACGTGCGCCACGTGCTGCGTAGTTGTGCTAACAAGGTCAAACCAGTTCCTATGGCTAGGGAATAGGATGTGGTAGGGAACCGTGTGAAGAAATAGTGCTAAAAAAGGCATCCAAACGTTGGCGCAGTGACATGTTGCGCACAGGCCTATCCTTGCACTGTTTCAGGCCAGCAAACGCACAAACATGCGCCCCGTGCTGCGTAGTTGTGCTAACGAGGTCAAACCAGTTCCTATGGCTAGGTAATAGGATGTAGTAGAGAACTGTGTGAAGAAATAGTGCTAATAAAGGCATTTAGATGTTGGCACAGTGACATCTTGCGCACAGACCTATCCTTGCACAGATTCGGGCCAGCGAGCGCACAAACATGCGCCACGTGGTGCGTAGTTGTGCTAACGAGGTCAAACCAGTTCCTATGGCTGGGTAATAGGATGTAGTAGAGAAATGTGTGAAGAAATAGTGCTAATAAAGGCATTTAGATGTTGGCGCAGTGACATCTTTGTCAAACATTGTATGTTTACATTGTGTAGGCTATAGTGGGTTTAGCCTTAGGGGGTACACAAACTTAGGGTTTCCTACTTGTACCCAACTTTGTGCTAGTTCAATCATTTCCTGTTTCTTTCATTCTGACATGGTTTCAGAGCAGGTCCTCCGCTAGGACCGAGTTTTCTTAGGGCCCACCACTACTGACTGCCTACTAGCGCCCTCGTGCGCCCTACTGTCGGAGCGCCCTCGAGCGCCTCCCCCCAGCGCCCTCGTGCGCCCCTCTTTAGCGGC